GAGGAAAAACGTCAAAAACCCACGAAATACTGTGCATAACTTTTCGTACGATTTCATACGAACTGATAATGAGAATATGTTGAAATAAAAGCTGCTCATGCCATCGGGCCTCGTGATTAACCCCCGATGTGAGCTTCACTCGCAGATACACCAATCAACTGGTGTTGCCACCCTTATGCCCACCAATGTCTAACGCAGACATGTCAGCTCCATTCTGCATAAATCATTTACCTACTTCTCTTAAGCCTGGATTGCACAAAATAACACAGTTCCCCAAGGGCACTTCATTCACTCTTTAACCAGCTTTAAGATAGAGTTTATGGAAACAGTCATTTGCTGTAAAACTCTCACAACCTGGGCGTTCTTGATCTTTCTGGCACCAGAAGGTTAAAACAGCGGAACTGGACACTGTGGAATGCAGTTGTGTGTTTCTGTGGATGTGTATTGATAACATCAGATCAGTATCAAACCCATCTGGAGCCCGCTGCTGTCCTGCCGGGGGGTTAATGGGCTACCAGTGTTGGGTAGTGTTTTTACAGTCATGTAATGTGTTACATACCTTTAAAAGTACTGTTTACAACGCTGTTGAAAAGCTAATAAATTGAGGACATGTGCTGATGTTAAAATGCCAGGAGCTCCAGCTTCATTAACCTCATAAGAACTCATATGTGTTAAACTTTGACGGGGCTTTGGATCGTTACAGTTGCAACGGGGAGCTTAACCAATACGACAGTCGAGAGAGGTCATACTAGACTTTTTTATTTCCTTTGCTGTCTCGAAATAATGACATAACTATCTTGTTATCACGGTTAAAACATTAATTGTTTTCTCAAGATAAAGAGATAAAAATCTCTATATTTGATAAATATATCTATATGTGATAACAAGATAAATATCTCGTTATCACAAGAAAACAGTTATTGATTTCTCGATTTAACGAGATGATCAACCTGCATGAGCAATGAATGAGGCTGGTCAACAGCGCTGGATTCCCAGTCCATCCATGCTTGCGGTAACCGTAATTGTGCAGTTGAGGTAAGACGTGTGCGCAAATAACCACGTTTTTGGTTTCCTTTTTCTTCTTACTCTGTGCCAGGTCATGGTGGATGATTGGTTGCATGAAATACAGTAGAAACAAATCTGACTGTTTTTTTTAAATGAAAATCTTTAATCTGGACTCATTTTGGGGGTTAATGCATCTTATACCTGTTACAGGCGTAACACAGGGGCTGTTTAGAAAACACCCGGCGACAGAACACCGGCGCTAAATTGCTGGAGGCATAGGTCGAAATGCTAATGAATCAAAAGTGGAAGCAAATCATCAAAACAACAACATCGTCTTATTACCTAAAAGTTAAACACAGGATTATTCATTACAGAATTAAGCAAAGGCCGCCATGACTTATGAATCCTCTCCCACTGTTGTGGTATTGAAGGATGTAATCAGTTTTAACACATCATCCCCAATCATCTCGTTATCATGAGAAAATGGCTTTCGTTATCTTTAGATAATGAGAAAATAACTCGTTTTCTCGAGAAAACAGCCGTGAAAAAGTCTCTGAGTGACACGGACGCTCTCAGCTTCCGTAATCAGGCTTGCAAAGTGAATATCTAGATTTTTGCAGGCATTTTTAAATACATTTCTCCCTAAATGACCAGTAAATTCTGCCATTGCATCAGTTATAAGTTAGTTATAGCAATGAGAGGTGGTCTGCCACTGTTTATAAACTGTATTCCAACTTGAATAAAAACTAATATAATAATAATTTAGCTTTATTGATCTCATATTGGAGAAATTTACCCATGCATTTAACCCCTCTCTTTGGGGAACAGTGGGCTGCCATTGTGCGGCGCCCTGGGAGCAGTGAGTAGCTAAAGGGTCTTGCTCAGGGACCCATAGTGGCAGGCTGTGGGTGTCGGGCTCAAACTCAGAACTCAAACTCAGAACCTCAGGATTCCAAGCTGTATGCCCCAACCACAAGGCTGCAACTTCCCCTCTAGTTAATTTCTTATATCATGCAACAAAACCTTTTTTATGTGCCTCTTCTTATTTTCCTCTAACCTTACTTTATCACTATGTAACATGTGACACTATAATATATATAAATATACAGATATCTCAGCAACACTTGTGGGTGCAGATCGTATCCCAAACCTATTTAATAACACAAGTTAATCATGGATAAATCATCTTCACGGCAGAAGAAGGAAGTTGAGCCATAAAATCCCCACCGTCTCTACATGTTGAAATACCTGAACATGTCCAAAACCAGGAAATAAGGAAGCGGTACATAATACAACATAAAAAAAACACACGCACGTAATATATGAGTAATAAACAGGGAGACTCTGAAATGTTGCATTTCTTTACAGAGAGATTTCACCCCGGTCTCAAAAAGAAGATGTAGTAAAAATCTCTGCAGCGTTAATTTCTCAATCCGCTCATGCATGATGCGTTACGCACGCTTTGTCCCGCAGCATGGAGACGCAATTAACTGAGTTTTTCTAACCGTAAAGTTACTAACAGCTGCAAATAAACCAGTAATGGGCATATTGATGATAAAATGTTGAAGTTTTTCCGGACTTTTAGAGTTTGTCTGCAGATAAACCTCTTACCTGAACGGGTTGGGCAGCCGCTGCGGTCCTGTTACGCTCAGCTCTCTGTGCACATGGGGCAAAGTCGAGCGACCTGCCAACTTCACATGTGCAAGAAGGATTACAGGAAAAACAACCCCTGCGCAGCATGCAAATATTCACGCTGAGTTTAAAACAGAGGGGTTCAATTTACGCACCGTGGTTGGTTCAAGTGTTACTAACAAAAAAAGCGACAGGAATAGAAGAAAAACAAACTCCCGGTGCGGCAGTTTACACACATAACCATCCGCACTTCTTGCGCGCATCCGCAGCTGAAACGTGTGCAGAGACGAGATGTTTGCTGTGAGATAAAAAGCCCAACCTTGAACCAGGCACGGTGCTGGAGCTGCTGCAGACCCGATAACTATGGGACCACTCTGCTCTGTGGAAGCTGTGCTCTGGAGCTGCGCTTATAAAGAGAACCTGCACACACACACGCAAACACAGGCTCACATCTATGAGGTGCCCCCAGGGACATAAATCAGAATTAACTTGCATATACACATATTAAATTACACTCTTC